CTTTTCACAAAAACAAACCTGTGTGTGTGTGTGTGTGTGTGTGTAAAAGTTAAGTTATAGTCCAAAAACGTTAATAATAGTTTAATATATAGTCTAAATAAGTTAAGTATTCTATCCTTTGACTAATGAAAATTGGGCCTAGTGGCTCTTATGCTTTTCTGCTTGGATCTCATTCTCCAGCTTTTTTCTAGTATGAAAGCACCCTATGTAATTGATGTACTAGGATGCAGAAACCTCCGGCCTTCTCTAGCCCAGATTAGGGAAGATCTCCCAGATTTGGTGCCATTATGTCAGAGGTCTAATCCATGAATAAACACAGGCACGTGGCAAGTGTTTTCGGGGTCATATAATCACGCTGTGCTGCTGGAAATTCACCACACCCAAGCAGACCGGTACTTGATAAGTCATATTACGCTTTCGGTTTTAATTCGTTTGACCGATACTTGCCAAAGCAATGGCGTGAAACACAACATTAAAGAACTTTTATGTTATAAGTATAAATATATGTTCGGTTTATTATGAAACTGTGGTGGGCCCCATGAATGGGAAACACTGAAATGTCAGAGTTCTGGTGTGGGCTGATGTGTTGTAGAGGGACCTCAAAGGGTCCAACTGGAAGACCCAAACTAAGCTACAAGCATGCTATTTTACACTACGGTAAACAGTGTGTGTGTGTGTATGTGTGTGTGTGTGTATATATATATATATACTGTGCTGCTGGAAATTCACCACACCCAAGCAGACCGGTCTGCCGAATGAGGTCATACGTGATGCAATCATTCATGTATGCAAACAGCACCGGCCCATCAGCGTGTTCTTTTGCGTGAATGACCCTCTTTTCACTCTGAAAGTAATTGACTCCCCCACTGCGTTTATTCAAAAACTAAATATTTTGCATCTCTGACTGGAAAAAAAAGAGACCTTTACCTTTAACTGTGTCAAACCTTCCAGACACCCTGCAACCCAGTTGGAAGCATCTTACGCAGAAGCCCCTGCTGCCGGGCCAGTTAGGGCACTAGGCCGGGATGCTGCAGTGTGTCAGCTGGGTTCCTCTCACATTCCCACGAGAAGCCCTGCTCGAAAATAGCTCTCACAGGCTCTCAAAGTCCACCAGACAAAGTTGGTGCACATTTATAGCCGGAGGCTGATACCGCTTGTCCAGTCGATGTGCATTATTTTAGCATTTAAACGTCTGCGGCTTGTGTTAATAAGCAAAAAAAAAAAGTGTGGGTGGCGCACACCGCAGGTTTTCTGGAGTAAATGAGAGTGTAGAAAAGGAAGGACAGTGTATTTTAGGGATTATACTGCAGTCAGTGAGGAATCCAGCAGGAGTGAGGTCATTGCTTAACCATTAGTGACAGAATTAAACAAATACTGCCTTGGCGTATATTTGCACTCGCGTGTTCACGTGGCAGCATGAAAGCAGATGGTTCTTTCAACCTATTAAGCATCTGAACAATACATCAGACCTTTTCCTTCCGGCATACATACACGCAGTCTCACATAGTGTCAACACCCGTACTAAATTTAACGTTCGCAGTTTTACTCCTTAGATATGCTCCCTTTGCACCTGTCTCCTGCAGTTCACAGCTCTGTCTGAAGGGATAGGCACCCTCTGGCACGGCTCTCATTTAATGTGACCGACTGCTTGAATCGATCCTGCTATTACTGTTCTCTAGTTTACAGAGGGCCGTAGGGCATCTGAACGCCTGACTAGACAGTACGATGTGCACTGAACCGAACGCGAATGCATGAAATATAACAAATCAGAACGATGATGACTTAATTTTTCTTCATATTGAGCAACACTTATCGTTTCTCTCTCTTTTTGGCTTTCTTTTCTTCCCTCTCTAGGCGTCTGATCCCATTCCTGCCAAGAAGTCCAAACACGATGACTTTCCAGCACAGTCGCCCTCAGGAGACAAAGACAAGCAACCTGATTGGCTACGATCCCTCTCTGCATCAGCCAATAAGGTTACAAATCTTTTTTTTTGTTGTTGTTGGTGGATACATGTGATTAGTTGTATGAGAGTACAGAGTTCAGATAATTATATATTTATCTATGTATTAATATCGTACGAGTCTATGTACGAAACTTGTCCGTTCCTAAGAAGATTTTTGGAGCCAAGCAACTGTTTTCTTGCCACAGAGAATCAAATTCTTCTGAAACAAGATCTCAACCCAAAATAATTGATGATGTTCTTTTGAAAAAAATCAATTATCCTAAATGAAGAGAGCCTGCAAATAGGCTTGCATAGTTCTCCGATTTCAAGCAGACACAATGACCTCACTGTACTTGTACTTCTGGTCGTTCTTCAAGTTTGATTTATCTGTCTCTTTCACTTTGTCTGTTAAATTCAAGAGACTTTCAGCAAGTAAAAAATATTTTTCATGGTCTCTGTTCTCTGTGTTCATGTTAGAATGCATTTGATTCTGTTCTCTACTGTGAAAAACTTGTATGCAACACAGTAGACGTCTGTTAACATCTCTGTCTTGCTGCAGGGGCTCAACTGCATCCAGCCCAGACAGAGACCGTCTGCCTTCAGGCCATGGTCTCCAAACATCTCTGTTGGCGATAAGGAGGGAGGCAGCAGACCTACTAGCATGTTACGTGACAGGTAAACAATAATAATAAATATTACATGGCACTCTGAAATACTTGATTCTGATTGGTCAATACTTGCATTATATTAGTTCAGTTCTTTTGAAAACTGTGTGGTTTTATTTTAGTAAATCTGTTCGTTCAGATGGTTCATGTAAATGAATCAATCTAACAACAAATTGATTCACTGAATTGTTTTATTTATTTTGTGATGACCACTAAACCACCAAATCAACCAGTGAAATCATTTTACGAAAGATAGTACACAAAGTTTGTGAAACCAGTGTAAACCAGCTTGTTAGTTATGCTCGGTTGTGGTTTTTCTAAAGCAAATCAGCATAAGGTTTGGATCTTCTGTCCAGAGGTGCATGATGCAAGCCCGTTGGCCATTGTTTGCTTAGATATATGTGGTTTTAACTTTACCATCATAACAAGAGAGGGTTTGGGTGAGTCACTGCTTCGAGCCCAGATTGGTTTCTGTGAAACCGCTCGCAACAGTCATTGTTCTCTCCCCACCCTTCGTTTGTGGGTAGCAGAGATGCTTTTTTTCTGTCAACCTGCCATTTGGTTTGGATTATTCACTTCTAAATCACCCATACTCTTTAAGATGATGTTAGATAACGCCATTACACAAGCACAGCGTACAGCAGCCTGTAGTGCATCATTTGTGAACTGTTACTAAAAATTAGTATCACTGCATACGTGGTCTGCTCACTCACTCCAAATCCTCTTCTTCAGCTTCTACAACTACAAGAGCCTGGAGAGCGCCGTGGCCCCCAATGTAGCTCTGACACCCCTCCAGAAAGGAGGGCAAGCCTCTCCTACTGCACCCAGCAGCTCACACCCGCATGGGGCGGAAAGCGAATGTGCCAGCCGGGGGAGGAAGAGAAGGTTGACGGGTGAGACCCACCCCAGCCCACAGCCCTGCCCCTCGGCCACTGCCAGCAAGCCTCTGCCGCCCTCACAGGAGGAGCGAGACTCAGATGTGGAGGTGGAAGTGGAGAGCCGTGAGGAATGTGAGTACATGACGCAACTTTTCACTGTCACTTCACCTCATTAAAGGAATGTTCCAGGTTCGAAGCATGTTAAGCTTTTTTGACAGCAGAAAATTAATGACTTAGACTTTCATGCTGTACATTATATATTGTTGTGATACCTACCTTTGATCAAAAGTGACAGTTACTACAGTTACTACTTTTATTCAGCTGATCAAAAGTGACTTTTACGTATGTCTATTTCAAATAAAGCACATCTATTTTCAAGATTAATCAATAATAAGAAATGTTTCTTAAGCACCAAATCAGCATATTAGAATGATTTCTGTAATATCTAATGAAAATTCACCTTTGCCACCACATGAATAAATGACATTTTAAAATAGTTGTTTTAAACTGTTCTTATATAACTAACAGTACATAATTTATAAAAACAATATGTAATATCACAGAAAATAATTTTGATTTGGAAAATGATCAGAAATTGTTTTACAGTAATGCAGTCACAATGAAAGTCTATGGCGCAAAATACACACTGTTTAGACAGTAAAACCACAAGTATTATTACTGTACGTTACATTGTCCCTAAAATGCCTTACTCAAGTTTTTACAAAATAAGAGGCGAGTCAAAATAATTTTCTTTAAAATAAATGAAGGAATGCTACATTCCTTTAATGTATTTGACGAGCAGTTTTTAATTTTTCTTGTTTTAGAGTGTTTTAACAGTGACCCTTGATTTTGTCGCTGTGTTGTGAAACAAAAGTGCTCGTTTAAATACATTAAGATTTTGTTCACACTTCATTTGCACACAGTTCATTTTCAGTCAACCTTGAGTGCTCTGGAGAGAGGTGGATTAGAGCTTAACAGCTCTTGTGTGAATGCGGCAGAAAATCAGTGAGGGTTCTTTCGTTCCTCATCCTCTACGGCTCATTTTAAAGCGCATCTTGTGTGTTTGACAGGTGCTTGAAAAAACTGGCAGATATACGAACCAATGAAGCCCACGTTGTCTGATCCACCACTTAATTATGTCTCTTCTCGATTTTTTTCTTTTCTTTCAGTCACCTCATCGCTTTCCTCACTCTCCTCCCCATCTTTTACATCCTCGAGCTCTGCTAAGGACTTGAGCTCTCCCTCCGGCCCCGGAGTCACCTTACCAGCAGTTCTGACGCCAGCCAGCGGGCCCCCAGAAGGTCCTCTGGTGTCTGGAGCGGAGGGACATGCCATGACGAACCTGGAGTCAGAGCTGGAGACGCTGAGGCAGGCACTTGACAACGGCCTGGACTCAAAAGAGTCGAAGGAAAAGTTTCTACATGAGATAGTGAAGATGAGGGTAAAACAGGAAGAGAAGCTGGGATCTGCCTTACAGGCCAAACGAAACCTCCAGCAGGTACACGCACACACACACTCACTCACTCACAGAGACATTGATTCATGAAACATGATTTTTTTTTTCATGATATATTTTGCCATATTTGTATTGCCATCTTTCTGAAAATAACAACACTGAATTGTTTTAGCAGTAGTATACTAAACATAAATGAAACTGAATAGGGTGCAACCCCTTTTCAACTATGTAGTGCAACTTCATTCATGAAAAATCCAGACCAACTTGGTGTTCAAGTATGGGCTAAAACATACCAGTTTTCATTAAAATAGGACCATTATTTCTCTCTCTCTCTCTCTCTCTCTCTCTCTCACACACACACACACATTTATTTCAGAATGAGTAATCATCAGTTTATTCCCATGCCTTCCACAGGAGCTGGAGTTTCTCCGTGTTGCTAAGAAGGAGAAGCTCCGTGAGGCAACCGAGGCGAAGAGGAACCTGCGCAAGGAAATTGAGCGTCTGCGTGCTGAAAGTGAGAGGAAAATGAGAGAGGCCAATGAGTCACGCATACGGCTGAAGAGAGAGCTGGAGCAGGCCAGACAGCTACGAGTGTGTGACAAGGGCTGTGAAGCCGGCCGTCTGCGAGCCAAGTACTCTGCACAGGTTAGTTCAATAACATTCATATACACGCTGTTACCAAGATAAGCGTTTAAAGATCTGGGCTAGTAACCGAAAGGTCATGGGTTCAAAGGTGTGATTTAGAGCTATTATGCCTTTGAGCAAGACACTAAACCACAGATTGTTCCTAGAGTGACTGTCCCTGTGCTATAAATGTACTGGAAGTGGCTCAGGATAAACAAGTGTCTGTTTAATGAAGAGTAATCGAAGGTATGCTTAGATTGATGTAACATGACACCCCACCCACACACACTTTCAAATGAACTCTCAGACCGGGTTTGGCCTCGCAAGTCTGATGAGATACGTTTCATTTCTCAGAAGGAAACAGGGTAACTTCCTGTCAGAGTTGTGTGTTTCAGACTCACACATTGAAAATTATAATACATTGTGGAATACAGTGTGATACGCTATAGACAGCGCTGTAGCATTTGGTCAAACTACATGATTTGCTTCTAATTTGTGGCCACTTTATTCATCTTTCATCATCTTTATATGGTACATTTTCAGATTGAAGACCTGCAAGTAAAGTTGCAGCACGCCGAGGCAGACCGAGAGCAGCTGAGAGCCGATCTGATGCAAGAGCGGGAGGCAAGGGAGCACCTGGAGAGAGTGGTCAAGGAGCTACAGGAACAGCTGTGGCCCAAAAGCCCCAGCAAGAACGGCACAGACGCACCACCCCCACCCGCTAAAGACTCCAACTAATCCTCTATTTCTTGACTTTACCCAATCCACATCAACACCGCCCTGATTGACAGCACCAACCGCCCAATTATGTCAACTAGCATGCGGGTGAACTCCCGCCCACCTGCCTCTTAGCCAGCGTAAATCCGGAGGTATCCTGAACATTTTTTGATGAAATTTGGACACATTTTTGAAAAAGGTTTACTTTGAGAGGACTGAAATGCACCTCGCCTCCAACCAGATGTAAAAAAAAAAAGCAAGTCCATTCGGAAAGAAGCCAATAGCACAAAAGCTAACTGTGCCTGAAACTGAATACATTTTGAAATGAAGACTTTTCTATGACAAAAAATTGGTAATAATGACGAAAAATTTTACACAGCAATTTTTAAGCATGCTGTCCAGCCCACGTTGTTATCGAAGAGACAAGGACTCATCATCATCCCATCATTTCCTCTCACGTTTTGAGGAACTAAGATGAAAATCACTTTGTAATAAGCTATTTAAGAGACTTGTTAGTGAGTGTGTATGAGATAAAAACTTCAGTGACTTATCAAAGCCTCAGATTTACCCCCTTTTACTTGTACATACATGTTATGCTGGTTAAAAGAAGACATGGAGACGAATGGTTACACACACTATCTTTAACAATGGTAAAGAGATACTGGTCAGGAGAGCGTTGAAGGGCTTTGGAGAGCTAGAGGTGGAGAAGTTCAGCCCTGTTGAAAGGGAGAGATATTTGTATTCAAGTAAGTGTTATGATCAAGCCAGAGCACTTTCTTTTAATGGCAAACAAATGCTCCCCTCACAAGCTGTCGTGTGAAACGCCACAAGTGCGCTTGAGGGTCAAAACCTGTCGGCGAATCTTAAGATCGTGGTCAGTGTGGAATCGGAGGTTTGTGGCTCCTGCTCTCCGTGAGGGTTTGGGTTTCTTCTCATCACACACACGTACAGCTTCTCCGTGGGCTGAGATGCTGACAACCGGCCCGGCTGAGAACGTGGGCGGCCGTTTTTGGGAATAAACTAAAAGCATAAAAAACACGCCTTCTAGGGCAGGAGGTGTCATGTGATCAAGAACCACAAATTGTTCTTTTTAAGTAAATTATAATATGTAAATATGAAAATGTTTCTTTTTCCTTTTCGCTTTGTTTTTTTTTACTTTACAATAATGAATCGCACTTGGTCATTACAAAATACTGTCTAAATGCATTACGCTCCCACACTCTCCCACACATTTATCTCAGAGTTTTTAGTATTCCTAAGTATACAATTGAAATAAATATTTTGTTAATTTTATGCAGTTCTAATAAATGCAATGTAATCATGTGTTTAAGACAAACTATTGTAAATAAAACCGCAAGAATTATCAGAGTTTTTAGTATTCCTAAGTATACAATTGAAATAAATATTTGGTTAATTTTATGCAGTTCTAATAAATGCAATGTAATCATGTGTTTAAGACAAACTATTGTAAATAAAACCGCAAGAATTAAAAAAAAAAAGGTTCTACATGCTTGCTTGCTGAAATGTGGACGGCGCACACAGCCGTTCCCTCAATCTGACTTAAATTCAACATTTATAATAGTTATCTATATATGATTATAATCGTCGCTAAAGTGTTATTGTTACTGTCCTGGATTCCTACAGGTTTTGAACGCTTCCGAATCAGATTTAAAACCGTTCGGAATGAATAGGACACACAAACTGTCATGCATTGGTAAAAGGGAGTCTAAATATCAATGCAGGTGCTCCTCTCGGCTCTGAGCAAGAACGTATTATGTGTACAAAACAAGAAGAGGATGGCTGACGAACAAACGAAAGTCTAGATGGTTTAATAAATACATCTTTAAATGCTCACACTTAGCAGAGAAAGATTTAGTTGAAAATACATATATTTTATAAGTGATTTATATACATTGGGTACAATGCAATCAGAATGTATGTTACGTTTTGGCTCTTTTCATTTTGTTGTTGTTATAACGGATGATTTTTCAGATTGTGTGAATATTTTATTGCTTATGTTCCTTCTTTTAATAGCAAGCTTATGTAATTTCTTTCATATGCATGGAATTTAAAAGAAAAAGATCAAGTCTGCCATTCGTATATTCATTATTGGGCATTAAAACTGTATATGTACGTTTTTTATTGTGTTATGCAATATAAAGCTATTTTAATCTTGTTTTTAACTACAAAGGAAAACAAAACCCTCTTAACAATAAATTTCAGCTCTTAACAATCTTAAACGCAACATTAACGGCATTACTCTTGGGCTAAATACAAACCTTATGTGCATATGCAATGCTGGAGACCCTCAAGTGCATATGCAATGCTGGAGACCCTCAAGTGCCTGTCTTTGGGCCCTTGGGGTTCCAGAAGAGGAACAATTATTGAGCCCGTTTCCACGGTGGCCGACTGTAAGGTGCACTGAACTGCTTCAGACAGCGGTCAGATGGTGAGAGCGGGACGTCCCATTTGCACTGTCATTTGGGGGAGCCTCTTTGGCTCGCCCCGTTTTGCCAGAATGAACTTGACTGTCATTGCTTAAGAGCAAGCCACAGCTTATTTGATAGGGTTTAATGCCAGTTTGTCAGTATTCCTTTGTTTTTTGTTTTCTTCAAAAAACTATGAATAATTAAATAAAAGAAAAATGCATAGCAGAGTTTAATGCTCCAATTGCCACTGGTAAAGAAGAATTTAAATCTTATACTAAGATAGCTTTTAAATGTACATCGGAATAAATAAACTCTTTTCTTTCTCTCTTTTTAAGGATTAAAAAATATATTTCAGAGGTTACTTTTGCTATAGATGTAAAAAGAGCCATTGAAATGATTTGATATGCCCTGACCTGTACATTGCAGGCTACGGTAAAGATACTAAACGGGGGTCTATAAGAAGCTCAGTGTCTTAACAGTAGCAAGGGGCTGTGCGTTTTTACAGACCAAAAAATAAATAAAAAATTTCCGATGAGGTTTTGTAGTTGTTTTTACACACAGATTGATATGTGTAGTTTACTTTGTTTGCAATTTTCTATGAAAAAGGGAGAAATTGATCACAGAGGCTCCCAATATAAAACTAAAAATGCGGACTTTTTTTCTAAAGGAGACATTTTTTGCTAACAAAAAAGATCTAAAATACAGCAATAATAACATAACATCACTGATAAATGAGCAGGATTAGCCAGTCTGATGATGAAAGTACAAATTCACCAATGTATATAGCCGTTTTCTTTTCATTTTACAAAAAATTTATCATAAATGTATATTGTGTTTCTTTGTTTTTGTTTTGTTTTTTTGTCAGAATGAGAAAAAAACCTTGCATAATAGTTTATATGTTTTATGTTGTGTTTTTAAAAACAAAAAATAAAGAAAATGTTTTAAAAACAATTATTTCAAAGGTTGTATTCCCAGTGCAAGCATATTCAGTCCTTTATTCCGCTTATTTCCTTCCTTATTTGTTTATTTTATTTTTTGGGGGGATGCTACAAAGAATGGTAGCAATGTTCTGCAAAATCTTTACAGTAAATACTTTTTTTTTTTTTGTTACGGTCAACTAAATATCAAATACATCAGTTCTGGTTGAATCAGTCATTCAGATTCTTATTTTAACAATCTGTTCTATTTTTTTTCCATGCCGATATATCATCTTAGCCCTTCACTGCTGCTATAACAATATACTATAAACTTTGCAACTCTTGAAATTATTTTTATGTAAGAGATTGATGTATGCTTTCTTCTACTACTGATGCCGCTTATACACTTGGATCTGGCCAATTTCTCCCTCTTAGACATCCCCTTTTCCCCCTCACATGGACTATAATGTAAGATAGAGAGCTCTATGAGATTAGAGTTGAAAGTAGTTTGGCTTATATACTGCAGTGTCAGGATGTACAGTGTATAGACCCATAATCAAAAATAAAGTTGTTTGTCCAGAAACCTTTTGTTCTGTTTGTTATTTCAGTCTCAGTGCAACAGCATCTTTCCTTCTTTTCCTTTGAAATAACTAACCTTTTCACTGCACCTTCACTTAGAAGTGTCTCTAGACATTCCTCAATTTTATATGATAAATTCACTAGAAATATTCTTTCTGTTGCATGCAATGTTTTGATCCTTCAAAGATTCAAAGCCATTTTTTTCTGTCTTGTTGCTCCTGCTTAACAGGTGAAATGAAAATATAAGGTAGAGCTCTTGTCATTGATGGTAATAGTGGTTCACATGAGCCAATGAATCAGATCTATGAAGCTTGCTGATTAATAATTCAGGAAGCACCTATGTAGGACCTTGTCTACCTTTAAGATGAGGAACTACGGGTGAATAGAGGACTAAAAAATGCCTTTCATCTAAATGTCATATACTGCAGAAATAATCACAAAACAAGTTTTTTTTTAATCCAGACTTTTCCTTCAAATATTCAAAATATGCTAATTATACACAATTAATCATTAATTAATTATTGATGTGTTAAAATTTTTTTAAATACTTTGAAAAGAATATTTTGATTGACACAACAACAATAATAACTAGAAACAAACTTTAAAATGGCTTGAAAATGTCTAGCTAGAAAGTTTGAAAAAGTTTTAAAAGCTTGCAGTCTGAAAGTTTTCAGTTTGAAGTAGTTTGGAAGTTAAAATAGTTTGAAAGATTCAAGTTTTAATGTTTTCAAAGCAATACAGTCTATCAGAAAAAAAACAGATAGGTATAAAACATATTGCTAGGGTACCTGGGGTGGTTGCTAGGCTATTTTTAGCATGGCTATCATGTTGCTAACATGTTTTAGCATGATTAGCATGTTACTAGCATGTTGCTGGCATGATTAGCATGTTGCTAGCATAATGAGCATGTTGTTAACATGATTAACATTTTACTAGCATGTTTCTAACATGGTTAACATGTTGCTAGCATGATTAGCAATTGAAAAAGTTTTAAAAGCTTGCAGTATGAAAATTTTCAGTTTGAAGTAGTTTGAAAGTTTAAATAGTTTTAAAGATTAAAGTTTTAATGTTTTCAAGGCAATACAGTCTATCAGAAAAAAAAACATATAGGTATAAAACATATTGCTAGGGTACATGGGGTGGTTGCTAGGCTGTTTCTAGCATGACTAGCATGTTGCTAACATGTTTTTAACATTATTAGCATGTTACTAGCATGTTGCTAGCTTGATTAGCATGTTACTAGCATTTTGCTAGCTTGATTACCATGTTACTAGCATGTTTCTAACATTGTTAACATTTTGTTAGCATGACTAGCAAGTTAATAATATGTTTCTAGGATGATTAGCATGTTAATAGCATGGTGCTAGCATGATTAGCAAGTTACTAGCAAGTTTTTAGCATGATTAACATGTTTCTAGCATTTTGTTAACATGATTAGCAAGTTACTAGCAAGTTTCTAGCATGATTAGCATGTTACTAGCATGTTGTTAGCATTATTAACAAGTTACTAGCATGTTGCTAGCATGATTCTAGCATGATTAGCATGTTACTGGCATAATGCTAGCATGTTTCTGACATGTTTACCAAATTGCTACCATGTTTCTAGCATGATTAGCCAGTTTTCTAGCATGTTTCTAGCATGATTAACAAGTTACTAGCAAGTTGTTAACATTATTCTAGAATGATTAGCATGTTACTAGCATGATGCTAGCCTGTTTCTAGCATGTTTAACAAGTTGCTAACATGTTTCTAGCATGATTAGCATGGTGCTAGCATTTTTCTAGCATGATTAGCATGTTACTAGCATGTTGTTAGCATCATTAACAAGTTACTATAATGTTTGCTAGCATGTTTAACAAGTTGCTAACATGTTTCTAGCATGATTAGCATGGTGCTAGCATTTTGTTAGCATGATTAGCATGTTACTAGCATAATGCTAGCATGTTTCTAACATGTTTAACAATTTGTTAGCATGTTTCTAGCATGATTAGCAAGTTATTAACACGTTAGTATTATTGTACCATGATTAGCAAGTTACTAGCATGTTGTTAGCACGATTAGCAAGTTACTAGCATGTTGTTAACATGATTAGCAAGTTAATAGCATGTTGCTAACATGATTGTAGCATGATTAGCATGTTACTAGCATGATTTTAACATTATAAGCATGTTACTAGCATGGTGTTAACATTTTGTTAGCATGTTTATCAAGTTGCTAGCATGATTCTAGCATGATTAGCATGTTAATAGCATGATGTTAACATGTTTAACATGTTGCTAATGTTTATAGCATTAGCAAGTTACTAGCATTTAGTTATGTTTCTAGCATGATTAGCAGGTTACTAGCATGTTGTTAGCATGATTAGCAAGTTACTACCATTTTGTTAACATTTTTCAAGCATTATTAGCAATTCACTAGCATGTTGTTAACATGATT